TGTCACAACATGGATGAACCTTGAAGACATTGTGCTAACGAGGCTGGTTGAAAAAGGCCACAAAGAGTGGGATTTCATTTATATGAAATGTCCAGAATAGGCAAATCCATAGAGACAGAAAGCGATTGAAGAAGCTGAAAGTAGGGAGTTATAAATGGGGAGTGACTGCTGATTGAGTATAGGGTTTTTTTTGGGGGGGATGATTAAATGTTCTAAAATTAGATAATGGTAATGGTTGCACAACTTTGTGAATACACTAAAAACTACTAAATTATATATGTTAAAAGGGTGAATTGTATGATGTATGAATTATATCCCATTCTATCTCAATAAAGCTATTACTAATTTTAAAAAACTCCACATTTTAGGAAAAGTATTAATGATCAGTTACTGACTTCTGATGTGAGTTGGTAACAGGATATTCTCTGGGAGAAATGAACAAAGGAATTTCCCACTTGTAATCATTTGGGAGGCAGGTCTTGGACTGTTGTAAAAGAAAAAATGTTTTCACTTTTCTGAACTTCAGGTTGTTGAGAGCTTAGATTTTGGATGTGTCAGTCAATTTAGGTTAAGGTATATCTCAGAAATATCAAATCAAAACAAAACAAAAACTAAATTAGAGAATTTTAATAGCACAAGTTTATTCCCTGCTCATCCTTTATGTCATTGCAGGTCATCAGGGGACTCTATTCTTTGCTTTCTTCCCTAGAACTCGTATTGATGGTACAGCCATCATTCCAAAACTTGTTTAGCTCGCAGCAGAGGGGTCAAGCTCTTGAGTTCTTGCAGTAACAATTATATGCTTTAGCCTACATGTGATACAAGTTACTTTTACTCATTGGCCATAGCTAGCTGCATCCTCCACCCAACCAAAGGTAGTCAGCTAGTGCAATATTACCCTTGCCCAGAAGAGTACAAATTGGAAACATTTGGGGAATAACACCAAAGACTCCAGTCGTAGGCTGAATAACAGCTCACAAAGATATCAGGTTCTAATCCTTGGAATCTGCAAACTTACATTATTGGAAAAGAGTCTCTGCTGATGTGATTAAACTAAGGACCTTAAGAGTGGGAGATCATCGAAGTAGGCCCTAAATGACACAGTATGCATCTTTATAAAAGGAAGGCAGAGAGAGATTTGACACAGACAGAAGGGGAGGAGGCAATGTGACCACGGAGACAGAGACTGGAGTCAGGCAGGGATGCAGTTGGTTAAAATTAACTTGATGACTAGCTCTAGTGTTCAGAAGGTGAAAGAGTTAAGAAATTTTCCCCTAACGCCTCCAGAGGGAATGCACACCTGCTGGTAACCTTGATTTCTGCCCAGTGAAATCTGATTTTGGACTTCTAGCTTCTAGAACAGTGAGAGACTACATCTGTGTTGTAAGCCACGGAACTTGTAGTACTTTGTTACAGCAGCCACAGGAAACTAACGTAACTGTCATATTAGATATGGTAGCTGTGTTTTGGGTCCTTTATTTAGGACAATTAAACTCATCCCTTTTACATAGTCATATGTCCATAACTACACTAAAGCCAAGCAAAAGAACTAAAGAAAGAGGAACCCAATAGTGAACCACAATCAAAAAACTTAAACCTGTGAATTCACAGGACTGACAGAACCAAACCAGTCACTCTTCACTGGAATCACACTGCACTGTCCTCCAGACCTTAGGAAACTCTCACTGAAGGTTATGGTGCTGTCTTTACTAAAAATAAGAAGGTGGCGTAAAATCGACAAGAAGGGAACAGCAATAATTCTATTGCCTTGGCCCATGGTCAGAGCAAGTCAGATGGCTGAAATGACAAATGACAACCAGGTTGGATCTTGGGACATATAGGCATTCCTCAAGTATTCCTTGAAATGCTTGGGAAAGAAAACATTGTCAACATCTGGATTTCCTGATGTCTGTCAAGCAAAATGGAATTCAAGCTCTACTGGCTTGTGATGTTTAAAGGAAGTGTGATATAATAACAAATTTAAATTTTTAAATAATTGAAATTATAAAACTAGAAGTGCCCTTGGAGAAACATTTAGCACTGTTAATGAAAAACCAAAGCTCCCAGGAATTGTTAGAGCCTCAGTTTCTCCATCGTTAAAATAGAAAGTTGGACAAGACCATCTCAAGTAATTCAATTCTTACATTAAAGACTTGGGACTCTATAAATTAACTTGATAACTAGCTCTAGTGTTCAGTATTGGAAAGAAATCCAAAGTAGACCTGGATACTTTAAAATTGTGCATATGAGATAAAATTAGCATGCGTTGTAATCCTTCCTTTCCTTCCTTCTTTCCTTCCTTCCTTCTCTCTCTCTCTCTTTCTCTTTCTCTCTTTCTTTCTTTCTTTGCAGTGGTATGGCTCACTGCATCCTCGAACTCCTGGGCTCGAGTAATCCTCCTGCTTCGGCTTCCTCAGTAGCTGGGACTACAGGTGTGCGTCAGCATTCCTGCATAATTTTTGCTTTTTTTTTTTTTTTTTTTTTTAGATATGGGGTCTTTCTCTGTTGCCCAGGCTGGTCTCTAGCTCCTGGACTCAAACGATCCTCCCACACCTCAGCCTCCCAAAGCATTGGGATCACAGCAGGAGCCACCACATCCAGCCTCACAAGCAGTTTTCTTTCTTCTCAGGAATGTTTCTGGGGTCAAAAGTGATTATTACAGAAATAATAATAATCATCAAGGATAGTTTAATGCTAAATATAAAGTGGCAAATTACTGAAAAATAAAACTTATGAAAATATGTCTTGGAACATTTTGGTAAATAGTGGATGAGTAAGGGAGTGAGTGGGCAAGTAATATTTTTAAAAATCTCCAAAACAAAAGTATATAGTCAAAGTCTTTCATCTAAAGTGCTTCAGAAAATATAGCTCTACCTCCAAAACATATATAAATCTGATCACTTACCACCTTCACTGTTTCATGTTGATGTAACCACCATCATTTTTTGCCTGTGTTATTTCAAAGTCTTAAATGGTTCCCTGTTTCCACTCAAGGCCTATAGTCTATTCTTCACACCACAGCCAGAGGAATCCTTTAAAAATATATCAGATTGTCACTCCTTTGCTTAAACTTCCCTTCACCCAAATAGCTTCTCATCTCATGCAGATTAAAGCTAAAGTCCTTCCAACAGCTTACAAGGCTCCTCTGAGCTGGCTGCCCACTACCTCATTAGCTCATTCCTTCCACTCTCCTCACTCACTGGCTTTGGTCTATTCACACAGGCCACTTCTATTCTTCAAACACACCATGCAAGCTCTCACCTAGAGCATTTACATTTCTCGTCCCTCTGCCCAAATGCTCTTTCAAGTCACACGGGGGCATGACTCCCTCTCTCATTTCCTTTATTCCTGCTTAAATGTCACTTTTTCCTTATGGTCTTCCCTGATCACCTTCTGTAAAACAGCAACAACAACCCCTCCCCAGCTTGGCACTCTCTATTTCTCCTCACTTAGCTTTATTTTTCTCCATTGTGCTAATCATCAAACGAAATGCATTTACTTGGGAATTTCTTCATTGTCTATCACTTTCTGACAGACAATGGATATAAGAACTCTGTTTTAGTCACTGTTGTATCCCTAGAGCTTAGAACAAAGTCTAGCACAAGTGGGATACGCCATAAATATTTGTTGAATGAATAAACGAATGCAGCTTATTTATTTGTTTGGTTTTTTGTTTGTTTGAGATAGGGTCTTGCTCTGTCGCCCAGGTTTGGGTGCAGTGGTGCAATCATGACTCACTGCAGCCTCAATCTCCACAGCTCAGGTGATTCTCCCACTTCAGCCTCCTGGAAAGCTGGGATTGCAGGCATGTGCCACCACACCAGGCTAACTCTTAATTTTTTTGTAGTGACAGGGTCTTCCTATGTTGCACAGGCTGGTCTTGAACTCCTGACTTCAACAGATCCTCCCAATTTGGCCTCCCAAAGTATTGGGATTATAGGCATGAGCCATCATGCCTGGCCACTAATGCAGTTTAAATATTAGGAGATTTGTTATATAATATTATAAAAAGTTAAGAGCTAATTTTCCACAAGTCTGTCTAGTTGTTCAATGGTGTCATCAAAGACCTTCCACTATGCCATCCTCAGGGTGCTGGCTCCTGTCATATGGGTTGCTGCAAGGTTGCATATTGGCTGCTGCAGTTCTAACCATCATAGTCACTCACAAATATTTGCATGCAATCATTCAGTTAGTAAGTAAATTTTATGAGACAGTACTAAGTATCAGGCATTATTGTAGCATGGAAACATGACCATAAACAAAACAGAGGAAGTCGCTACTCTCATGAAGCAAGCCGAGCTGGAGTACAGTGGCACAATCACAACCCACAGCAGCCATGACCTCCCAGGCTCAAGCCATCCTCTTGCCCCAGCCTCCCGAGTAGCTGGAATTGCAGGTGTGCACCAGCCTGCCTGGCTAACCTTTGTGTTTTTTGTAGATACGAGGTCTCACTATGTTGCCCCAGCTGGTCTGGAACTCCTGGGCTCAAGCAATCTGCCCACCTCAGCCTCTCAAAGTGCTGGGATTTCAAGCATGAGCCACCGTACCTGGCCTTCTTCATATAACTTTTAGTCATGAAGAAAAATATGTCTCTGAAGCCACCAAACCTCCTTCATGGGTCAGCATTATATCACATGACTAATCCTCCTTATAAAGGAAGCTGGGAAAGCAAGTCTCCAAAATTTTCAGCCTCTATCATGACAGGTGGTCATGACAGAGAAAAGAAGTAAAACAACCAACAATGTTTGCTACAAATCATGCTAAGCATAGGTAATCATTCAGTATCTGCTTTTTGATAAAGCATTAACGTTGACAATTATTGCCCTGTGACTGAAATTTAATATTTCTCTCTGAAGGTTTTTGCTTTCTAAGTTTCTGTCACTTATTCTAACAGCCTTAATCATGCAGCAGCTCCAACATTCTAACAAACATGCTTTGGAAATTGACCAAGAAATGCTGGCTTGCTCCCAGGACTAAGTGATGGCATTTAATTTGCTCACCTGGAAAGAAGGACAATTCCAGAAAAGACAATTTCTTCTTGTATTACTTATTGCTCAACCAGCAACCTTTAAGCTAAAGCTGTGAATATATATATAATCTGTCAGCCTTCGCTATGTGTTCTTCAGGACCAAGCCTCAGTTTCAAACTTCTTTTGTCCAGTGTAACTGCAAGACCCACTTTAGACTCTTCGCTTCGCTTCTCCGTGGGCAATAAAGCAGCAGTTCCATCACCATTGTCCAAACAGCAAATGAGAAGTGATGTTTCAGTATAAGGTACTGTCTGGAAAAGAAGAGAAAGAGGCAGTTTTTCTGACAGAGCCGTTCACACTTTTCCTGCACAGCTGGGAGACATTAGCTGAATTTCCCCAGACTGGTCTGCTTTCTGGCACGGTAAGTTAAAAACCCTGAGAGCCTCCAAGGTAAGTTGGATTTCTATCATACACATTTAGCAGCTAAATCACCAAAAGTCACTTTCAAAAATTCACGCAAAGCTGCATCTTTTGCCAAGGTCAAGAGTTCAGCAGAAGTTAGCAAAAAGGGGATTGTGGGCAGGAGGCAAGAAAAGAGAGAGAAAATATCGATAGATTATCTTTGTTTGAAAGCTGCTTTTATTTTGAGGAACTTTGTGCTCAGGAAAGTAGATAGAAGATAGTTCTGCAATAAATAGTATGAGACATATATGAAAAGAATAAATAATATTTCACTGTATGCCAATTTCCATTTCTGCCACCATATTAAGGAGATGGAAAGAGCATTAAAAGAGCCATAGGTCGGGCACAGTGGCTCATGCCTGTAATCCCAGAACTTTGGGAGGCCAATGTGGGTGGATCATCTGAAGTCAGGAGTTCGAGACCAGCCTGGCCAACATAGTGAAACCCCATCTCTATTAAAAATACAAAAAATTAGCCAGGTGTGGTGTCAGGCACCTGTAATCCTAGCTACTTGGGAGGTTGAGGCAGAAGAATCGCTTGAACCCAGGAGGTGGAGGTTGCAGTGGCCCAAGATCATGCCACTGCACTCCAGCCTGGGTGACAGAGCGAGACTCTGTTTCAAAAAAAAAAAAAAAAAAAAAGCTAGATTCTAGTCCCACATCATGATTAATTAATAGAAAGATTTTGAACATGTCATTTAGCCATGGGGCTCAAAGTCCTGTCCCTTTCACTTTACGGGAATTTAGTTATGAAAAATTCTATTTCCCTAGGTATTTTGTGATTTATTATCAGCTTTTGATTCCACTAATAAGGACAATCTCTGGGCTTTTTACTTATATTCTGCCTAAGGACAATCTCTGCGCTTTTTATTTATATTCTGCCTTATTCCACAAGGAACCTCAGGTTGCTCTGTGGGCCAACTTACATGACTTTTGTGTAGATCTCAGATTTTAAATGTTTATCTAAATCAATATGGCAATGCCAGAATGGGTTTTGAAAGAGTCAATTCTAATTTTAAATGGCTTAAAACCGGACTGCACCTAAACATTTTTATTTATAATTTGTGCCTAAATGATTTATTCTGGCTTGAAAGATCTATATATTTTCTCCTATATATGCCCCAACATATACATATAAACATAGAGACAAGCATCCTACCCTATGTTGATGATATAATCTTACTATTATAAGAATGTCCTCAAAACAAAAATGGAACCTACTGGCAAATTGCCAAATTAAATTTAAAGAAAAAAAGAATCTTATCACAAAGAGACCATACTCTTTGCATTTAGATCTGTGGTTTCTCTGCTTTCTGAACAGGGGGATCTCTGGGGCAGGGCTAAAGAGTGAGAGAAGAGGCAGGTGGTTGTGGCGCCAGCCTCACCCCACACCCAAAGAGGAGTGGTTTTGTTTGGTCATGTTTTTATTTATTAGACTTCTACACAAATGTTATTCAAAAAAAAAGGAACTTACTGATTTAAAAAGTCTGATCTAGGTGAAAACGGGCAAAACCAGGAGTCACTGGAGTGAATCTTGCCCATGGAATTTTTTGTTCTGTAATACATCAGTAAAATGTTTAGATGAGTTACCAATATTCAATTATTTTACATAAAAATCTGGATTTCTGGGTCTGTTGACAATGGGGGTGGACTGGAAACACTGAGACGCATTCCCACACAACAATGAACTGCAGCTGTGTACTGGCTGCCCAGCTTTAGAAAGTCACACACTTTTGCCAGGCACGGTGGCTCACGCCTGTAATCCTAGCACTTTGGGAGGCCGAGGTGGGCGGATCACAAGGTCAGAAGATCGATACCATCTTGGCTAACACGGTGAAACCCTGTCTCTACTAAAAATACAAAAAATTAGCCCGGGCCTGGTGGCGGGCACCTGTAGTCCCAGCTACTCGGGAGGCTGAGGCAGGAGAACGGCATGAACCCGGGAGGCGGAGCTTGCAGTGAGCCGAGATCGCGCCACTGCACTCCAGCCTGGGCGACAGAGCTAGACTCCGTCTCAAAAAAAAAAAAAAAAAAAGAAAGAAAGTTACATACTTCCTTTTTTAAAAAATTACTTGATTAATTAATTTATTTTTTATTATACTTTAAGTCCTAGGGTACATGTGCACAACGTGCAAGTTTGTTACATATGTTATATGTGTGCCATGTTGGTGTGCTGCACCCATTAATTCTTCATTTACATTAGGTATATCTCCTAATGCTATCCTTCCCCTCTCCCTCCACCCCACGACAGGCCCTGGTTTGTGATGTTCCCCTTTCCTGTGTCCAAGTGATCTCATTATTCAATCCCCACCTACGAGTGAGAACATGCGGTGTTTGGTTTTCTGTCCTTGCGATAGTTTGCTGAGAATGATGGTTTCCAGCTGCATCCATGTCCCTACAAAGGACATGAATTCATCCTTTTTTATGGCTGCATAGTATTCCATGGTGTATATGTGCCACATTTTCCTAATCCAGTCTGTCATTGATGGACATTTGGATTGGTTCCAAGTCTTTGCTATTGTGAATAGTGCAGCAATAAACATACGTGTGCATGTGTCTTTACAGCAGCATGATTTATAACCCTTTGGGTATATCCCCAGCAATGGGATGGCTGGGTCAAATAGTATTTCTAGTTCTAGATCCTTGAGGAATCACCACATTGTCTTCCACAATGGTTGAACTAGTTCATACTTTCTAATTCACTATGTCCCTGCTACTTCCTAGTTTGTATCCACCTAATTGTATTCACACATTTATTTCACTTGTCTCACACTTGGGGAAATTCTGGGAGGTGGCCCTAATCTACACGTATCTCAACACCAGTACATTCTGGTATGTTGACTGGGATGTGCTCCTACTTAATTAAACTTCTGAGTTAGCCACTTTGAGTCTTCAGGACAGAATTCAGTAGCTTCAACCAAGGGTTTGTTTCAGCATTTGAACAGATCCATGGACTTTGCCCTGCCTTAGCTGCTTTGAAGCATTTTATGAAGAGGAGCTGGTTCCATCCGGGCATAATTTCAAGTGGAACTAGGAGGCCATCAGCTTTCTCATAATCTCTAAAGAGGTTTGATTGCAAATCTGCCTTTAAACAACAGCTCAGAGCTTCTTCACCCTTCTACACTCTACAGCAATCTCAGACAGAAGGAGCCAAGAAGAGACATACTAGAAGGTTGTCTAAAGCAGTGCTTTTCAAACTTGTTTTTACTACAACGTGCAGTGAGGGATGTATTCAGCCACAGGTATGCACACTTCCACGTGCGTGCACACACACACACACACACACACACACACCGGTTTTATGTTACAGTAGTTACCCTTAATACAAATACTCTATTTTTATACATGTACATATGAATACATATGAAGTCTATTGTTTCATTTCTTAAAGTGCTGTTTGTAACCTACTACCTAGATCTCAGAAATTCTAGGTCATAATTTGTAGTTTGAAAAACATAGGTTTAAAGAACATGCTATTAATTCATCTCCTAGATTTTAAAATTCTCTCTTAGTATTAGCTAAATTATAAAAACATGCCTATATAATATTAGTTTAGTTATCTATGGACCTGCATCTCTGAATTATGAACTAATATATTATCCTTGCTTTTCACCAGGTGCTGTGATAAGAAATGGCCATTTTCTTGCCAAGTGTCCCTTGTAGGGCAATATCCCTTTATAGTGTGACATAATGTATTCCTCTTGGAGTTCAAGAAAAGTTGATTTTCCTGACTGGTATGTAATCTTCTACTAGATAATCATTATTGAATCACATCTTTTATTCCCTATTTTACCACAACTGTCAGCAAACTTAAAACTTTAGTACTTGCCTGTTGTAGCTTTTCTTCACCTAGATTCTCTAGTCTGATTATTTCTTTCTCCATGTCTGCAACCTAACTGCCTTTGCTTTCATCAATTCTCATCTAAATTACTACAATAGTTTCTAGCCACTTTCCCTGCCTCCTTCATTCTAATCCTTATTCCAACTGCTGTGGAATGATTTTTCTAGGACATAAATGTGATGATCTAAAAAGAAAAGATTATTCCCCTGCTTCAAATTCTTCCATGGACCTCCTTGAGCATCACTTTCAAGTGCTGTGGCTTGCACTTAAGGATTTTTTTGGAAACTAGGTTAGATAAATATTGCTTATGTAATATTAACATTTGTAAGTCTCAAATACTTCGACAGAAAAAAGAAAAACATCTAAAGGGTCAATAAGAATGTTGATCAATGATTGTGATATGATTTTTGGTATGTGCATTCAGAAGTTTAAAATGATGCCTATATATCTAGGAATATTTTTATCTATTCAACGAAAGAGAAATGTCTACACGTGGATCTTAAACTGGCAACCCAAAAGCCAAATTCATCCCTCCAACAGTTTAGCTTGTCATGAATAATGTTTTAGAATTTCTATATTAGATATTTTTAGATGGGCACCTGGTTTCTAGTTCACCACTCTCAAGCTTCCTACACATAGTTCATCACATTCATTTTAGTTACCTGCCAGATCCCTAGTGGCTTCAGAATTTATCATTTTTGTTAGAAAGTTGAAAGGTTCAAGAGAGGTTTTCTCACCATAATCTGTTCTTCTCCCAAATGCTGGTCTTGCTTCTGCTTTTTGTATCCTTTCCAGGTTTGATTCTAAAAGTACCTGAAATCCTAAAGACAAAAGAGTTGTCTTCCTATCAGTTCAGAAAAAAAGAAAAACAAATAAAACCTTAGGTAAATTTTGAAAAACGCATCTCTGATGAAGTGGCATTTAAACTGAGAAAAGAAGAATGAGGAGGAATGGGCTATGCAGAGAAACAAAGGATGTTCTAAGAGAGGTAACAGCAAGGG